CGTAGTACACTATGGTACTCACACCGTACAAACTCCGTGGGACTCTGCCATACGGTTTTCCTTTCCCTGGCGGTAAAATCAAGGTGGGGCGCTCTCGCGAGACGGGGCGCTCTGGCGGTACTTTACGGTGCTGGGAATATGATGAATATTCATAGGTCGAGGGAATGGAAAGGGGAAAGATCTAAAGAATAAATTTGCCTGTCACCACCAGGACTCGAACCAGGGACCTTTGCTTATAATTTTAGCATTTTGTTTACTATCTGTATGCCCTAAACTTGCTGCAGACTTTTTCCATTGCCTATTTCTTCACTGGCAACGAGAGCTTCGCCGAGGAGGCAGTCAAGACGCTCAAGCGCTGGTTCCTGGACGCCGACACCAAGATGAATCCAAACCTGAACTTTGGCCAGATGATCCCTGGCGTGTGCGACGGAAGAGGAATCGGTATCATCGATACAGCGTAAGCGTTGTTCTTTTTATTTGATTCGCTGACCAAAAACGGACAAATGTATCCAATAACAATGGGGCGAATAAGGACTGGCGACGTAACATGAATTTATGAAGAGAGAGACCGTGTTCTTGAGTGATTCAATAGACCCCTGCCCGATGCACAATGATGACGTCCGTCCATGCTCTGTACAAGCCTGTCTGCTGAAATGCGTGTTGCACTGCTTTCTAGGATTACCAAGTCGCGACCAAAAATGGCTCGAAAGCCCCCATTTTGTAGACGGATTACATCTTTGCCAAACTTTCCCAAAGTCACTACACGGTTGAGATGTGATTTTGCTTTGCCAGAAGTGATTGTATTGCAACTATGCTTCCTAGTTCATACAAAGATGACACACAGCTTCAAAGTGACATCAAGTGTCCTTCAAGCAGAGGTTGTGGCTCGTGTAATGCTGCAACGAATGCGGTGCTTGAGCAAATTCTCATTAGCCTATCCGTATTTTACCGGTTGTAAGTCGACCCCGGTTACAGGTCGCCCCCCGTATCCGGAGGTCTCAATTCTGCGTTTTAAAGTTTTCACCCAACGAGGGTATAACCTCCCAGTCCTTGAAAAAGGCCAATACACTGGCAAAAATGTGTACATCTGGTGCACTCGTGCATGCAGTGCAGGTCATTTTTTGTAAGATCCTGATAGTTCCCGGTTGTAAGTCGACCCGCACCCATTCTGCTTCTATTTTTAGTCGGAAAAGGTCGACTTACAACGGAAAAAATACGGTATATTTTCCGGAGTACAAGCCTCAATTTCAACACTTGTAATTCACCCCATGAAAAGTTCGTGCAGCAAATACTCCGATGACAAGAGAGCTTGGAAGCTCAGGGCCCTACGCTATGCTTTTTTTGCCTTGATGACCTAGACAAAAAAAGCATAGGGATGTTGTAAATTCTTTAAAAAAATCTTTTTTTAGACATAACCTGGGATTCGAACCCGCACTATCGCGCGCCCTGCATGCACCCCCCGATACACTTCGCATACATACTAATTCTTCCAAGTTGTTTCACATTGTGATCTTGCATTCGAAAGCCCTATTTGAATATGCATTGTGGCCAGCCGTCTTTGATGGCACGGTACGGTAGGGGATAGGTACGGGACAGGTACGATCGAGGGTAATACGACACCGTCTAGCGGCCCGCAATATTCAAATAGGGCTTTCAAACGCAAGATAATAACGTGAAGCAACTTGGAAGAATGGGTATGAATGCTAAGTGTATGGGGGAATGCATGCAGGGCGATAGTGCGGGTTCGAATCCCAGGATATGCCTGAAAATAAATAGGAGAATTGAAAAATGTATAACATCCTATGCTTTTTTTCCGTCAGATACGGATAGCGCCAGGCGTGACACAAACAAACAAACACACAAACAAACAAATACCAAATTAAAGCTGTGTGGACCCTGGCTAGCGCCAGACGTTACTGAAGTAACGTCTTCTGCATAGCTACGGGAATGAAATACACTGTAATATACAGGGTAGATGTCTGTATCTCCAGACAAAAAAATCGGGGGGGGGGGGGGGGAGGGTTATACCCTGGAAATACGCTACTTTGCCTCCAATGTTTCCTTAGTGTTATATAGCATCACACATAGAACAGAAAGGTTCAAGGTTGTTCAATGGAGTGCCCGATGCCCAAGAGCAGAGCTGCAGTAAAACCTGTCTTGGCGAGCACTCGGATAAGGCGACCACCTGTCCAAGAAGAACACTGCAACCAGGAGCCATGGATGCTATTCCCAGTCAAATAACCCTGGATAAGGAGACCACCTGGTAACAGAGACCGCTCTTTGTAGGTCCCTTGAGCGGTCGTCTTAGACAGGTTTCATTGTCATTGTACTTACAAAAATAGTTTGATGCTCAGTTGCCGCGGGACGACATGCCGTTTTCTCTGTGCAGGTCCTGGTATGCATTAGTGGACAGCATTCAGCTGCTGGACGGCTCTGCTGCACTGGACGCCAGCACACGGTCGGCCATGACTGAGTGGTTCAAGGAGTACGCAACATGGCTGCACACCAGCAGGAACGGCAAAGACGAGAGCAACGCCAAGAACAACCATGGCACCTGGTGAGTTGAGCAGTCACCTCGTGACCAACAGCATGGCCAATGGATGTTGGCCCATTGCCTTCTTGTGGCAAGTAACCATTGTGAATCATGTGTTGTTCTCCTTTACACCGGCAGCCTGCAACGATCTTCAAGGAATTGCTGGTTCTTTTGTAGGGATGAAACGATTACACCGATTACTCGGGACTTACTCGTTATCTCTATGATCGCTACTCGTTATGCTGTTATCGAGTATGCACTACCTGTACATGTCATGTACCTGTCCATAGTACTAGTACTTAGTAGCTAAGTCGCACTGTCTGTCTAGTCAACCATGGTCAACCCGCTGCAGCACGCGTCCTGCAAGGAGTTTTAGGTGACAAAATTCACACCTTTTCCTCGTCACGTTCGCACTTTGGGGATGTGTACCACCGGTGCATCCCGGAGTGAAACAAACTGGCTGTGCAGGATTTGATTGTCAGTGTTTGGTGTTGGGAGTCGATGGAGGCGTCTGTTTGTAAGCTTCAGAAAGACAAGCGCAGTAAGGGCCTGTCCAGACTAGGTAGAAAACCACGTAAACACGCCGTAAACATGCTTGTTGCCAAGGTGAGTGACGAAAAATGGCCGATAACGGGGAACGTGGGATTCACGCGGAACGTGAGTCGAGGACCCCTGTACAAAGCACGTTTCTCATCTACGTGCCGTTTTCGCAGTGTTTGTTGTGTGAGAGTCGATCGGTGGAGTTTTCGGATCGCACTTTTCTTGCTGTTTCCAGCTGCTGCAGCTTGTTTTTGCTTTGCCGTTTTCATAATGCCACACGTCCGTTTCAGCTACGACTCTGAGGCGACATTGATACAGTCGTGGCTGGACATGGAGAGAAATCCCGGGGTCTGGTGAAGAGGAAGGTGTTGTAGAGAGAGAGAGAGAGAGATAATTAACTGACGAGCGAGCATTTGAAACTGTTTGGATAGGAAGTAGAACCCTGTTCAGTTGTGAGGCCAAAGCCAGGGACTTTTACTGGAAATACACGGCGGCTACAACCATTAGTTCATCAAGCGATGCTATAGCGGGCCTCGACCGTGACGCTGCGCTGCTGCGAGAGTGTGGCCAAATTTCCGTACCTGGAACAGAGTTCAGGGTGATGTTCCTTGCGCTCGGCGTCAGTACTGCCATCGCAGGCCGCCATTCGTTTTTGTAGCTAGCTGGGTAGGTCTAGACCAAGCCAGGGAGTGCTTGCCTGGTCTACACGCTACAACTACAACTTAGTAAAAGTCACTTGTGTGTCTCGTCCAGTGGCAGTAGTGCATCCATGGACAAAAATGAACAGGTACAGGTGACAGAGCGAAGTGTGGACAGCGCGCCGCGTGTACGTCACGTACTCTGAAACGGCACGCCGTTTTTATTACCTAGTGTGGACAGGCCCTAAGAGCAGTACTTTGATTTCGACGTGGGATGCCGCTATGCGTGTTCTTGCTTTCACTTTGGTTGTTTTTGATGCAGTTCTTTGCGAGTAGTTTGTTCGTGGCAGATAACAGGAGTTAGCTGGTGCATTGTTTTCTCGTGCGTGATGGTGTCCACGCCGCCGAAGATATCGCGTGTTTGCTTGATGAAAACAGTCCGTCGTCCGCTGTTGCAAACTGTGCAGTGGAAAGCTCACACGTCAGAGTGGTACCACGAATTTATTCAACCATTTGAAGACTCACCATAAGCTTCAGTACCTTGAAGTTGTAGGTGGAAAGCAGGGTGAAGATGCGAGCAAAACGGCAGCAGGAACGACGCCAGTGTCGACATTCTTCCGCAACAACCAAAAAAATATTTACTAGTTTTTATTACAACACAGTTCTAGACGAGATGTCACAGTACTTCCGAGATGTGTTATTCCATCAGTCAGCATTCGTGACATACATGATTGTACATGTTAGATTGACAGCATGTTGGATTCTATCACGATTGTACATGTACAAGCGTATTCTGTATTTTACTGTATACGCAAGTCCTTCATGCACTATTATCAAGTTCCGGAGACCAGTAAAATTTTGATATGTCATACATATCCAGCATACTCGTTTTATGATAACTCGATCGTTTATAATAAACGGTACTCGATAAGAAGAAATGGATGATCGTTTCATCCCTATTCTTTTGTCATGGATCTGAAACTCAACATACCGTCCTGACCTGGGTTGATTTTATCCACAGTGTGTTTGTGATACTTTGAAGTATGCCTAGGCTTTCAGTCAGTCTGTGTGTGTGTGTGCGTGTGTGTATATATGTGTGTGTGTGTATGTGTGTGTGTGTGTATGTGTATGTGTGTGTATGTGTGTGTGTGTGTGCGTGCGTGCGTGCGTGCGTGCGTGCGTGCGTGCTTTCATATGTACACACGTATGCGCATTCACGGGAACATGCGTGTGTATGCGCGTATATGCACACACACATGGTAGGTATGATGCTCAGATCCAGTCGTTTGCCCTAATGTCAGGCCTCACGGACATCGCGCATGAAGTTGCCAAAATGGTAAGCATTCTACAAACGTTCCTACTCACCCTCTCACATGTACTTTCAGGGGAGTAGCGAGGATCATGATCAACGGAAGGGAGGCGCTCTTCGCACAAAAGTACATTGCTGCTCAATGAAATCCAATCCCGTCACTCGTGCCTTTTCGCGGCCCTCTGTTCGCAGGTCTTGGGCGGCACAACGCCCGGCGCGTACTTGAGTGACGGGATTGGATTTCGTTGAGCAGGACTGCACACGAGTGTACATGTCTTCTGTCTCTTCATGCACACACTATGACATGCTACTACCTCAAAGTACCGTAGAGTCCCGCGGATACGCCCCCGGGCTTATCTGTTTCACAAGAACATTTCGGCGGGCTTGTACAAGAACATGGCTTTATACGCGGACACGGGCTTATGCGCCGACACCAAAATTGTGCTATTGAAAAGTACCCAGGAAGTGAGAAGTACATGGGTGAAAATCACTGTGCAAACAAAAACAACCGATGATTGTGTTGAAATGTACAAAAAAACGTACATTATTGTACTACGTACATGGTGCGACCTAGGCCCATTGGCTTGTACAACGAAGCTTTGTGATGTTCGAACTTGGCCTGGGCTTATGCACGGGTGGGCTCATACACGGGTGGGCTTATGCACGGGTGGGCTAATGCAAGGGTGGGCTTATGCAAGGGTGGGCTTAAAGGGGCACTCCGGCTTCATTTTTGACGCCGAGTTTTCGATGCCAAGACGAAGGTTGGTGAAAGAGAAGACCCCTCGAACAAGAACGAGTCGAGCAGGAAGACGACTTTTGAATTTCGCCGAGCGAGCGCTGATGATGTAATGAGGGATTAGCTTGCCAGTGGAAATGCATCTGCGCACATACATTTCACATACTTTTTGGCCAATGTTCAATCGAAGAGGAGGTAGTTTTCTATGTTCTTTCAACGTCGTGAGCGATCCCGTCTTCTATACCCTTCCAGGTATCCTGAAGGTCCTCCAGAGGAGAATTTATCTCCAGCAAAGCGTTATTGATCCGCTAAATTCGTCTCGAGACAAATTCAACCAGTGCAGTGCTGATAAATGTAGAATATTGAATCTGTGATAATTGTCGACGATGGAGAGAGAGGTTGATAGCCGCTGTCGCAGGGAAAGTGAAGCTGCTGGAAGTAACGACGGGGAGCTTGTTAGCATCACATGAGCATCCAGACTTCAAAGCAGCTTGACGGAATCGGGGAGTACTGACTATTTGTCTCGCCCTCAGTTTAGTGAATTTTATGACCAGAAAGTATTCGATCAGGATTCCTTCTACAAGATGTGTAGTGTAGTACAGGTGATTTCTGAACTTGACGATATGGAGACGGACCAGTAGACCTACCAACAACGTGTACCTGCAGGAAATTCACCCAAGGCTATTGCTATCCTCTTCAGTGGCTGTTGTTTTTTAGTAAAATATGTTCACTTCTCTCAACATACTCCTGCATGGCAGCAAGAAGGTGAGCTATGGAATTCAACGCCACAATCTTCGCCCAGCTGTGGATGAAGCATGGTCAAGTCATGGCAGTACATATACTTGAAACAGATGAGAAATTGAAGTTCATTTGTGATGGGAAGTTTGACAGCCCCAGTGACCGAGTCGAGCGTTGTCTTTTGCCGTGGCACAAATTGCTGAAGAATCCGAGATGGTCTTGGAATTATGCACATGGATACTACCAGAAATAATGGTGGCATGAACCATTGTGGAATGGGACAGCTCACGGAGAATACTGGAATAGCTCAAGTATATCTAGGTGATTGTAAATCCTGTTCTGGCTGATAGCTTCGGCCTGCTGCGCCCGTCCATGTACAATGATGGTAACATGCATTTCTGTTTTCTACATACATGTATTTGCCGGCTACTATACTGTGGTATTACAGTTGCAGGTCCCTTATATAGAAATATGTTCACCCCCCCCCCCCCCCCCTACATACCCACATTATAAAATGAACTAACAGTTTCACTGTTGGACTAGCCGGCGGCTAGAGAGCAAAAGATTAATTTTATTGAAAAGAAAAGGACCAGGGGACTACAAGTTACGCTATAATGTTCACGAACAATTTCACTGTATTTGAAATAATTTTGTTTGATACCCTGAGAACTCTGAAACTGTGCAGCACTGTGGATTATATGTGGACAACATTTATGGAAGGAAAAGTGGAATAATTTCTAACACATTGTTCAAATAATTATAGCACTGGATTGTTGAGATTATGAGCACATTCCAATCAGCACTCTACATATTTATAGGCGGTGGCAATCGTTAGGAATAGGTCGGGAGTTGTCAGAGTGCTCTAGTATTATGAGAGAATGTTTTGTTTGTCTAATCGACGGCTCGTTTGAAGCCAAAGTTGTTTGAACTTGTTTCAGTCGACTTGATTCTAGACAGTAGTCGAAGGAGTACTATGAAGTATACACCAGACGTAGTCCGTAAGGTATCTCGTGAGAATTCTGTCGGTACACATCAGGTGTCAGCTTGCAAAGATGGCTCCTCTCTGTTTCTTGAAAGCCGGTCTAGTTAGACTGTGTCTCCAGCGATTCCCTTCTCAGAGCAGATACCATACCCAATACGGTCAATGCATATTGGACAGACCTGTGTGCACAACAGAAATAGTGGAGAGAAATCTCTCAGCTCATAAACACATCAGTGAAGTTTGAACTGCCGTTGTTTGTGGCCATCAGTATTAACCTATCGACTATAAGAATAATGTGCAAAAAACCTCTATAACTACAGCTAGTGCCATGGAATTGTAAAGCATCTAACTTAAGGAACTGCCAATTCTGGTCTGAGTTGCGTTCGAGGCCTGCAATTCATGATGGCTATCGTATGTTGCATTGACCAGAGATCATATAAAACTTCCAAACGCCACATTGAAACACACACCACTTTCGAGTACTTTGGTACCCCCTACCAAATGGGCATTCGTTCCCGGGGTGACAGGCGTCACCATTCGTTATGCCTGGATCAGATTTCATTGACCCCAACTGTCATGAAGAATCATTTTTAGTTTGACTGGATTTCAGTACAAGTTGTAGAACTGCAAAATCAATTTTGTTGTATTTGGGCAACCATTTCTCTACAAACGCTCTATTTGGAAAATAGAATTTTTTTATAAAATGCATATCCAAATTCCACATCTACCCAAATCGGAATACTTGATCACGTAAATCAGTACTATACGGAACGTTTAGAAAACGCCAGGGAATAGGAATTTGCTAACGACAACTCCAGGCCAGGGTACTAGCATACGAACAAAACAAGATAAAAACTCACCAGTATACTTGTAATTGTTAATTCATGTCGGTGTAATATTCACGATAAGCAACGAGGCACCCTCCGATTTGGTCAAGCTGCTTTGAAGTCTGGTTGTTCAGGTGATACAAACGGGCTCCCCGTTGTTACTTCCAGCAGCTTCACTCTCCCTGCGACAGCGGCTATCAGCCTCTCTCTCTCCTATGTCGACAATTATCACCCAGATTCAGCATTCTACATTTATCAGCACTGCACTGGGTGAATATGTCTCGAGACGAATTTAGCGGATCAACAACGCTTTGCTGAAGATAAATTCTCCTCTGGAGGACCTTCAGGGTACCTGGAAGGGTATAGAAGACGGAATCGCTCACGATGTTGAAAGAACATAGAAAACAACCTCCTCTTCGATTGAAAATTGGCCAAAAAGTGTGTGAAATGTATGTGCGCAGATGCATTTCCACTGGCAAGCTAATCCCTCATTACGTCATCAGCGTTCGCTCGGCGAAATTCAAAAGTCGTCTTCCTGCTCGACTCGATCGCTTCTGGAGACTCTTTCTTGTTCGAGGGGTCTTCTCTTTCACATACCTTCGTCTTGGCATCGAAAACTCGGCGTCGAAAATGAAGCCGGAGTGCCCCTTTAATTTAAACACGGGTGGGCTTATGCAAGGGTGGGCTTATGCACGGGTAGGCTTATGCAAGGGTGGGCTTATGCAAGGGTGGGCTTATGCACGGGTGGGCTTATGCAAGGGTGGGCTTATGCAAGGGTGGGCTTATGCAAGGGTGGGCTTATGCACGGGTGGGCTTATGCACGGGTGGGCTTATGCGCGGGTGGGCTTATGCGCGGGTGGGCTTATGCGCAGGTGGGCTTATGCACGGGTGGGCTTATGCACGGGTGGGCTTATGCGCGGGTGGGCTTATGCGCGGGTGGGCTTATGCGCAGGTGGGCTTATGCACGGGTGGGCTTATGCACGGGTGGGCTTATGCACGGGTGGGCTTATGCACGGGTCGGCTTATGCACGGGTGGGCTTATGCACAGGTGGGCTTATGCACGGGTGGGCTTATGCACGGGTGGGCTTATCCGCAGGACTCTACTGTAGAATGGTAGGAGTGTTTGACAACAGTACAATCATGTCACAGCTGATTTCTAGCTCAATATCTGAGTTCCGCGCTGGATTTTGGTGATGTAATCGCACCGTATGCATGTAATCTGATCTCAGTGTGTGTTTGTGTGTGTGTGTGTGTGTGTGTGTGTGTATGCATGTATGTATGTATGTATGTATGTGTGTGTGTGTGTGCGTGCGTGCGTGCGTGCGTGCGTGCGTGCGTGTGTGTGCGCGCGCGCGGGTGCATGTGCGTGTTATCTATTACGTTTAACTGTCTGATGTGCAGGTTCCTGACAAGAGAATCAAGGTGGAAATCAAACCTGATGGACAGATGCCAATGGTAAGCAGTCATAGAGGAAAGTTAATGAAGGGGAGAGTGTGTGTGTGTGTGTGTGTGTGTGTGTGTGTGTGTGTGTGTGTGTGTGTGTGCGTCTGTCTGTCTGTCTGTCTGTCTGTTGTGTATGTGTGTGTCTGTGTCTAAGTGTCTGTGTTGTCGTGTGTGTCTCTGAGTGTGTGTTGTGTGGGGTGTGTGTGTGTGTGTGTGTGTGTGTGTGTTGTTGTTGTTGTTGTTGTTTCTTTATTTTACTTCACCATATGAACAGGCAAGACTGCCTTCTCACCGGGGCTATTGGCCCACGGCTCTCACAGTATGATGGAAGTGTGTGTGCGCGTGTGTGTGTGTATGTGTGCGTGTGCGTGAGGGGGAAGTTTTGTTCGCTATTGTCAAGTCCAAATGAACATGATGGCAAGATGTATCATACACAACACAGCGTACATGTATAGTTGCGCTCGCAGTCACCGCCTATGCATAATGCTTGAGCGCCCGGAACAAATCTGTTTCCTTGCGAAAACTTACATCGATGAAAAAGACTGTTGCTGTTTATTTTATAATGATTGTAGTCGCGCATATGACTACTTGGAAGTAGTCGTATGCGCGACTACAATCATCTACTGTAATAAGTTACTGTGAAAGCAGAAATTTTCGTCGGTGTAGTATTTTCGTTATTCCCCCGAAATCGGCGGTTCGGTGTAGGGAAATTCCCGGTAAACCCGTTTTCCAGGTACACCGTACTAGTAATTGTACTATAGCACTAGTATCGCGTGTGCTGCGTGTTAAATATTGCAGGGCTGCCACTTGCTCCCATTTTTCGGAAATCGTCCGAGTTCTGATCGCCTGTCGGACAAGCCGACCGATTTTGTTCCCAAAGAGGGACAATCGATTATTTTATTTTGAGCGCTTTTTAGTCCAGTTGGCCATTCGGCGCTTCCAGGTCGCGTTTGGCCGGTCATGGTACATGTACATGTAGCTACGGTTGCTGCATAATTGACATGGTTGAAGTGCGTGTGCTGGACAGTTAAAAATGTGTTCTGGGGCCCCAACAGCAAACCATTTTCCTAAAAAAATTCAACGGGGGACACCCCCGGACCCCCATCAGATTTTTCTCCCTCCAAGTGTGGCAGCCCTGATATTGGGTTGCATTTTGTTTTAGGTCAAAATTGTCGGCACCGAAGCTACCGAAAATAAAACACTACCATATTGTTTGCTTTTATTATTTTATAGTAGATTCGGGTGGAGAGCAAAGGATTAATTTATAAGAAGAAAAGAGGACCAAGGAACTACTACTTTGTCTACAAGTCCGTTAGAATCTGCGAAGTAAAATAAACAACAACAACAACAACAACAACAACAACAACAACAAGTTATGCTGTAATGTCCACTAACACCACCAGTTACTTTACAATCAGCTCATGTGATAACATAGCACCACACTGACCAACGGTGGTTGGTGGCTGGCTGGTCACCTTCCCCTCCTACGTTATTCCTATAACTTAGAACCTTCCAAGTTGGAAGGTTGTTGGAGTGCGCATCCAAGACTTGCCAAGAGCTGATTGGCAGGCAGTTAGTTGTAGAACGTCAGTATCACCGGTCAGTGCCGTGCAATGTTATTACATGAGCTGATTGTTTAGTACCTGGACTGGTGGTGTTAGTGGACATTATAGCGTAACTTGTAGTTCCTTGATCCTTTTTCTACTGATAAATTTGATTAAATGAAGGTAATCCTAGAGCAAAGCTCAGTGCCTTTCTCTGTATTAAGATGCTACTATGACTTCGACAGCTTTTAGTAGGAATATTGAATTCAAATGTTGCAATTTGATACGAAAATCACGTTCTCCAAATTGGTCACTATACACATATAAATGTCACCTCACGTATGCCGAAACCCGCGAATATTATCAAGATTGTTGTGGCTGGCCGGTTGTCGTTATTTGGGGAGGTTGACCAGACTGTATGTACACTGACTGTGGATACGTACTATTATTAGGAGAGTGCTCGACACATAATTATGGGTGTAGAGCCTTATTCACGTAGAGAGAAAGGCAAAGCAAACCGTAGCTGCGTTGCCGTGACTGAGTTTCCCCGACAAGCCGCAATCATGAAACAGCACTGTCAGCCGTCTCCTTTTTTTCATTTTGTGTGTTTGTGTACGCATGTATGCATGTATGCTTGCATTTGTCCAGGAGGAAGCACGTACCAAGTCCAAGTCATACTGCACTTTCAATCTCAGAGTAAGTTCTCTGATCCTTGGCATAGTAACACACACATCACACGTATCTACAGTCCATTCATTGGAAACTGGCACCCTAACGTTTTGCTGTCTCCTGCACATAGTTGTAGATATTGTGAAAACAACAGCACATCCTGCATTGTGTAACCCGTGCAATTACTCCTAGTCGAAGGACAGGGAAATAGAAATCCAGCCAGGTTTTACAAAATTGGGACAGGTATACCATAGCAAAATGTATGGAGGAGCAGATCCAAAACCCAGATTCTTGAGATTTGAAGTGGGTTTTTGATCCTCAATTCGGCCCAAATCGGACTTTTTGAAAAAGCCAGCGGGACAGTTTCCGATGAATGGACTGTAGGCCATCACTTTTAAAAGAATTCAATAATGTGATGCAATGAATCCCTTCGTGACCATGACAGTGAGTCAATCCATCGTCTCAGACTCTCACATAGGCTTTGTGTCGGAAGTAGATTTGAAATGACACAAGAAACCGTGGAAAAACTGGGATAATCAACTTGAAGTATCATGACTGCCATCAAGGAAATGATGTTTTCAAGCCCTGCATGCTGCGTTGAGATAACACACTGCACAGCAACTACGTAGCCTTCCCCATCTCTCTGTCTGACTTTCTAACTGTCTCTTCTCCTCCCCCCCCCCCTTTCTCTCTCACTCTCATGTAGTTCGTACCACAGTCTGCACATTGTGTAGCATCTACGCTATACGAGTATGATGGGATTCACTGGCCTGGGGTAACAATGTACAGAACCGTGGAGACATGCGATACCCATCCGCTCCACCCTGTGGAAGGGTTCAAAGTCACGAGATTTTACAGTATTTGCGCGAAAGTGCAGGGTACCTATTATCACATGCACACACAAAAAGTCCTTCATTTTGCCAATTGGACTGAGTAGCTTATCAAGAGCGGACGGACTGTGCTGGGAAAGATTTCTCGACTATTTTTGTTTTCACTTCTGACCCTGTTTGCTACTCCACTATCTACTGTATTTGTCTCCAGGCCCTGTTCAACCTGGCACGCGTCTCATCATTCTCGGGCTTGAGCTTGTGGAACTACACCAGCAGCGATGGCAGCAGCATTCGGAAAGCCTTCGACTGGATGGTGCCGTATGCTGTCGACCACAAGGCCTGGCCGTTCAAGCAGATAGCGGACTACTCGTGGGGTGAGATGTTTGAGCTGTTCAGGCGTGCCTCCATAGAGTACGAGAACCCCGATTACGAGAAGATGATCTCATCGTTGCCCGACATTCACGAGGATGATGTCATCAACTTGTTGTACCCACGGGTGTATAATGTATCGGTTTACTTGCCACCGAAACCGGACCGCGGAATGCCGCCGTCCTGGTTTGGTGAGCTACCATAGAGAGATGATTTACTTGCTACATGTTGAGTACCCGCAGCGCTAAAAGGCAATTGGGTTACCCGTATCCTACTAATTACATCATGATCTGGGCATGAGCAATATTCCATAGCAATGACGTCATACATTGGTCATGTGCCTGATCCATAGTCTATGGACGTCCTATCATTACATCAGGATTTTCTGGTTATGATGTAATGCTATAGTGCAGACCTCTGTATAGTGTTCTGATCAAGTGCATGATCGCTATCCTATAGACTAGAGGGGTTATGCCATGACACCAAGAGTACATGAAAACCAGAGTGTGCAGCTCGGGACTTTTTCTACTATGGGTGTCTGTCATGGCGGAATACCGTGATTGCATCGTATTTGGTGCATATCTGAGGGGGGAAGTGGCGTAGTGCGTACAACTGAGTTGCAGTTTTGCAGGAGACCTGCTTGAATCCTGCTTGTACGCACTACATTACTTAAATTGATGTCAACCCTGAATTTGGCCATGACAGCAACCCATCAAAGCTGCACACTCTGGTTTTCATGCACTCTCGGTGACGCCCATGTGTACAATCATGTATTCGTTGCGGCTATGAACCATTACTGTTTCCCCAGTGAGAGGATATGTCGTGCAAGTGAGCGTAGGGCTCCATGAGTTTTGGTTGTGCGCATGGGAAAATGCATGCAATGGGTGACTTGCATCTGATGGCTCTCTACAGTGAAATTCCCCAGATCCGGACATCCCTTATCCGGGCACCTCCGTCTACATGGTAACTTCCTGGACCCATCTAGAGTCACTGAAATTTGAATTCCAACAAAAAAAACAGCCCCAAAAACTATTAAACTCGGATGGTGAGCCAATATAATTATGGTGAAAAAGGAGAAGGACAAACTGTTACGAGTTATGACTAATTGTCCACCAACGTAACCAGATCATATACAGTCAGCGAGTGCGACAAAAGATCTGGTTACGTTGGTGGACAGTTAAGTGTCATAACTCGTAACATTTTGTGCTTCTCCTTTTTCACCAAAAAATACTGATTGGCATTACAAATGTTTACTTGCAATTTTAAAAGGAAGTATGCATGTTCTGAGTTCCAGGCAATTCCTAGTTACATGCAGTGCTTGCACACAACCTGCTCGGATCCGGGTAGTTTTACTGTATGTCCTAGTTCTTGGTGGATGACGCCGGCAGAAAGTTCTGTCAATGGCAATGCTTCTCGAACAGATTTCGCCAAATATTATAGTATTATCCTCCAAGGCTCGCGTGCCTGGGAGAGGACCAGGGGAATAGAAGAAACGGCTTTGAGTGAGAATAGCTTTTGTCCAACATAATGAAAGGTTTATTCATGCAGTTTACAGTGTACCTCCTCCCCCCCTAACCCCCAACCCCCCCCCAACCCACTCCAACCCACTCCAATGCACGTACTATTGTGGAGATTGAAATCCGTTGAGAAGTCAAGCGGTCACGGCCCAGGGCACTGGCCTTGCAGCCGCGCTCACCGCTGGTCCATTTGCGCAGGGCAACAGTGCGTGCACGCGCTAAGCAAGCAAGGCCGCCGTCCGCTGGTCATTACATTGGATCTCAATATCCACAACAGTACGTGTACGTGACGCACGGTCAGATGATGACACGGGTTTTGTCACCATGTCAGGGTTGTTTTTGTTGGTAGGAATCTGCAATCACGGTACAGCAGTATGCCAGTATGCACTGTACAGTGTAGAGTGTAGAGACTCAGTGTGCTGTCTGTGCTAGTGCAGGGACTATCCCTGTGACTAGTAATTAGTAGTATGAGTCTGGCAGGCTCAGTGATCACTTACAGCCTGCTGTCAACGTCTGACTTGCTTGACGGTTGACTGCTCGGCATCGTGGCATTCAATGCATGAGTGAAGTAGAACATTCTGTGCCAAAGTTATGCGTGGACACGTGCATGACAAGACGTCAACAAGACGTCAACGGTCAATGCAGATCTACAACTGGTTGCCACTGGTCTGGGTCCCCCATGTCTGGTGGACTCATGCCAAGTGCCCACCAAAGACTCAAAGTGTTCAACTAACTACAGTATGTGTCTAGGAGTAGGAGCAGAAAGCCAGAACTGGTTCTGAACTTGACTGAAGAGTCGGACTTTTCTGGCAGAAAGTGCTAGAACTTTGAGAATGGACGAGAGTTGAGCATACGTGTACATGTGCCATCAGTTCAGGTTCCGATCTAACGAACTTCGGCTATAAAGAATTAATTCTTCTGCATAATTGTGTTTGTCCCATCAGGAGTCGATGGTACGCAGGTTGTTGCAGGGTAACCAAACTCTATCTAGGGTATACCGGTATACTGAAGAACAGCTTTATGCATGTTACGCCTAGCGCACTGCCACCAACAAGGCCTCGGAACCGCACCGGCCGGGGCGGCCATGGCCGCCCCACTTTTTCGGCGTTTTTTGTTTGTTTTTTGTTTTGTTTTTGAGCACACTGCAACAAAGCGCGATGATCTCAGCGCAAACGTGGCAAATCCTTGTCCCCGATCGTGGTTTGTTGCAGAATCAAAAGTCCATCTACATGTACACTGAAATGGCACCAAATGCCTGGGAATGCTTGCAATTGGCTTCAATTTTTGAATTTTTTTCCCGGGGGAGGGTAATGTTTGTCCCCGATCGTAGCATCTTCTTGGTTTTTTGCAGGATCAAAATGTCTTTCATTGTAGTTACCGTACACTGAAATGGCACCAAATGCTCGGAAATGCTTGCAGATGGCTTCAATTTTTGAATTTTTTTCCAGGGGGACGACCCCGCACCCCCTTCCATGGCCGCCCCACCTCCAAAGTCGGTGCGACGCGCCTGACCAATAATAATTATAGAGTGGTTTCACATCAGTCATGTGACCAAGTTTGTGTAGAAAGTGATCATTATCATGTGGACTGTGGAACCAACATGCCCGACCGATCATGTGACCCTCATTATGCAGGAATTGAGTGGAGTTGGAAGCAATATGGCTGGCCTGTCTGGTCATGTGATAGATTTACATGTACATTTTTTCATGTAGATGTACATGTACATGTAAAACCACTCTACGGAACCGGTGCGGCAGTTGTGCCCACAGCGGCATTAATAATTTTATCCTGTGAGTTTTGAAGCAATGAAATACATGTACATGTACATGTATGGGCTATTTGGGCCCGACCTACCACACATTTACCCGGAGAGGCCCCCCCCCCCCCCCCCCCTTATTCCATAGCCGCACCAATGATGCCACACAAAAGCATGATGCTAGGGATATCAGTGCGGTGCAGCACTGTGCAGGTGGTTTGCAGACTAGTTCAGCTTTAGTAAAGTTTAGATGGGCGATCCCTTTCTTGCACCAGGACTCCACTCCGGGAGCCGACGGCTTCTAGTGGTGATTGCTACATTGTATAGTATACGTTTCGTGCGGGTCAACAATGGTCAAAGCCAGTACAGCTGCAGATCATTTGTACAGCTGAGAATGTTACAGTACGTCACAATACACATGCACTATACTCTATAGTTTTCCAATGTCGTGGACTCGTGGTTGATGATCAGCTGCATAAAATTATTTGAAATAACATCAAGGAGTCGTAACTGGGGTATTTACCCCCCCCCCCCCCCCCCCCCCCGCCCCAGCCATAACACAGACAGAATCAGAATGATAATGATTGTATTATTATTAGCCATCCTCAGTCATGATACTGATCTACTGATAGCCGTATACCCGTGCCCACCACTCGACACTGCACTCATAACCAAAACGTCGCAAAGCCCACGACTCCCTGCTCATATTCATAACTCATAAAAAGGGGTCAGACTCATAGACGTCAATGCAACGCCAACGGTCGACCGGTAGATCTACGCGGTCCACTGCACTGGTCCACGGCGGGTAGAGTCCACCACAAACATCTACACTTGAAGTTGAAGTCAATGAAGACTACAGTACCGGTAGTACAGATTATCGAAGCAGTCCATGCACTCTATCTACCAGATCTACATGACTTCTGAAGTTCTGTAGTCTAGATGCTACTATGTGAGGTCAGACGAGCCGCGCGCAGCCAGGAAATGAGCGTTCTCCTGCATGACGACTTGCATTGCAGTCTTCCACCCCGAGAAGTAAGAAGTAATAAAATTATTAGTTAGTTCAACCGTTACCGGGTGTCTTCTCCTCTCGAACAGAATTTCTGGACGGAGTAGCAGCAGCAGCTGCTCTACACCTAGTGACAGTAGATGAGTTTCACAGGGTGAGGGACTCACTGCACGACGATACCCTTCTCCTAAGGCTTCGGACCAGGCAGGATTCACGCAGGGTGTTACGACCGATAAGTGTGTAGTGGCACTGCTCGATTCTGGTGGATGGTGGTGGAAAATCAGCCTGAGAAGTCGGACATTTCGCCAGAGAATGCGCTGGTGATGAGCAGCGATTCCCAGGTGAAGATGGAGCCCGGAAAGGAGAGAGATGGCAGGAAGCTTGAGGACTTCTGCCGCGCCAACCTAGGCGAGGTAAGGCGAGAACAAAACAATTTTTTAATTTAAATAAATGACAACGCCATTTAGAGTAAGTATCTGATGTGAAGTGCGCTGGGATAACCAGGTTACGTTCAGCGGCGAGCGTTGGGTTGCTCCAGTGCAGAAGCTAGCCGAGATACATCGTGTCCTCGCAGGGTTAGGTTTCTAGGCTGCATAGGTGGAGGCGTTGCGTGTAGAAATGTGTGAATTTTCATCTTCGTTTTCGGATAGTCGAGCAATTTGCGCCCGTTCATATGCAATTTCCCACCACATTACTGACACCCAATAACGTACTTACTTCCTATAGCGTGAGCTTGTAGCTACACACTTCAACCCTGCGCACGATTACGGCGCTTTAGGCTCACTCCTGATATTGTGACTTAACTTGCGCGCTGGTACTCTCCAATCGGCAGTGTGATTCTATTGCGTGCGAATTAAAGCAAGACCTCGGCAGGCTTCAACTGGGGCTATTGGTCACGGTAATACTGCAAGCTGGCTTTGCTTCAATTCAGAATGTTGGGTTGATAATAGGCGTGTTCTGTGTTATGTGAATTAGTGGTTATGTTTTCCACTAGTTCATGTATGCGTGTGCGTGCGCACGTGTGTGTGTGTGTTTGTGTGTGTGTGCGCGTGTGTGTGTGCGCGCGTGTGCGTGTGCACGCGTGTGTGTGTGCACACATGCACGTGTGTGTGTGTGTGTGTGTGCATGTGCGTGTCTGTGCGTGCGTGCGTACATGTCTACATGCATGCGTGTGTGCGTGCGTGAATGCTTCCGTGCGTGTGTGCGCGTACATGTGTGCGTGCGTGCGTGCGTGTGTGTATGTAAGTTGCAGGCATGTGTATCTGCAGATGAATGTGTGTGTGGGTGGGTATGTATGTCCTGTATGTCCTGTATGTATGTATGCATGTGCACTAACATTTTCTGTCGACGTGTCCTCTACAGTACGAGAACAAGAGTGCTGTGAAGAAAGACTTGGCATGTGTCATTGAGTGGTTCCCTGGTTTCGAAATAACCAGGAGTATTCAAGGTGAGTTCCGTACATTCAACTGTTCAATGGAAACATTGTAGTGTAGTTATGGCAACACGGTAGTGTAGTTATGACAACATGTAGCAAGAAGGACCCATGAATGTGTGTGATCCCGGTAGCCTAATCGGTAGGGCACTGTCCCGGGAAGACAGGGGTGCTGGGTTCGAATCCCGCTCGTGGATCCTACTTTTGCTACATTGGCGCCTGGCAATAGCTCGAACCCACGACCCATTGGCATTGTACGAGTTGGTACGGCATGATGACACAGCCTATCGGGGCGGGGGAGCAGTTTAGCAAGAAGGACCCATGAGTGTGTGTGATCCCCGGTAGCCGCTAGGCTAATCGGCAGGGCCCTGTCCCGGAAGACGGGTGCTGGGATCAAATCCCGCTGGCGGATCCTTTTTTTGCAACAAACAAGACAGTGTAGTTATGGCAACTGGTCAGTGTAGTTATGGCAACTGGTCAGCGTAGTTATGGCAGCAGGTCAGTTTAGTTATGGCAACATGCCAGTGTTATGGCAACAGGCCATCTTTTTCTAAATGTCCAGCACCGAGTACATGTGGACCTAGTTTTTAATCAGTTAATTTTGTGAGATACCTTGGGTATAGTGACAAGTTGCAATGATACTACCTACATGCTACATGCTGATCCAGAAGCTATTCCGTTACCACAAACTTGCATGGATAATAGAGATTTGCGATTATCAACGCCTTTCGGATGCCTGGTCGAGTTCAAAATTGCATTTATAATTATAGCACCCACACAATGTTTGGATGTGTGGTGAGTGAGTGTGTGGTGAGTGAGTGGTGAGTGAGTGGTGAGTGAGTGTGTGGTGAGTGTGTGGTGAGTGAGTGAGTGAGTGGTGAGTGAGTGGTGAGTGTGTGGTGAGTGAGTGAGTGAGTGAGTGGTGAGTGAGTGGTGAGTGAGTGGTGAGTGAGTGGTGAGTGTGTGGTGAGTGAGTGGTGAGTGAGTGGTGAGTGTGTGGTGAGTGAGTGGTGAGTGAGTGAGTGTGTGGTGAGTGTGTGGTGAGTGAGTGAGTGAGTGGTGAGTGAGTGGTGAGTGAGTGGTGAGTGAGTGGTGAGTGTGTGGTGAGTGAGTGGTGAGTGAGTGAGTGTGTGGTGAGTGAGTGGTGAGTGAGTGAGTGTGTGGTGAGTGTGTGGTGAGTGAGTGGTGAGTGAGTGAGTGGTGAGTGAGTGAGTGGTGAGTGAGTGGTGAGTGAGTGGTGAGTGAGTGGTGAGTGAGTGGTGAGTGAGTGGTGAGTGAGTGGTGAGTGAGTGGTGAGTGTGTGGTGAGTGAGTGAGTGAGTGAGTGGTGAGTGAGTGGTGAGTGAGTGGTGAGTGAGTGGTGAGTGTGTGGTGAGTGAGTGGTGAGTGAGTGGTGAGTGTGTGGTGAGTGAGTGAGTGGTGAGTGAGTGAGTGGTGAGTGAGTGGTGAGTGAGTGAGTGAGTGGTGAGTGAGTGGTGAGTGAGTGGTGAGTGAGTGGTGAGTGTGTGGTGAGTGAGTGGTGAGTGAGTGGTGAGTGTGTGGTGAGTGAGTGAGTGGTGAGTGAGTGAGTGGTGAGTGAGTGGTGAGTGAGTGGTGAGTGAGTGGTGAGTGAGTGGTGAGTGAGTGGTGAGTGAGTGGTGAGTGAGTGGTGAGTGAGTGGTGAGTGAGTGGTGAGTGAGTGGTGAGTGAGTGGTGAGTGAGTGGTGAGTGAGTGGTGAGTGAGTGGTGAGTGAGTGGTGAGTGAGTGGTGAGTGTGTGGTGAGTGAGTGGTGAGTGAGTGGTGAGTGAGTGAATGGTGAGTGAGTGGTGAGTGTGTGAGTGAGTGGTGAGTGAGTGGTGAGTGAGTGAGTGGTGAGTGAGTGGTGAGTGAGTGGTGAGTGAGTGGTGAGTGAGTGGTGAGTGAGTGGTGAGTGAGTGGTGAGTGAGTGGTGAGTGAGTGGTGAGTGAGTGGTGAGTGAGTGGTGAGTGAGTGGTGAGTGAGTGGTGAGTGAGTGGTGAGTGAGTGGTGAGTGAGTGGTGAGTGTGTGGTGAGTGAGTGGTGAGTGAGTGGTGAGTGAGTGAGTTGTGACTTATCACAGTGTGCTCTTTCTATTCTCTGCTGTGTTTTTAGACGCTGATTGAATATTTATTTCCCCTGTTTTGTTTGTCTGTGTGTCTGTTTGCTTGTCTTGTTTGTTTTGGTTTCTCTGTTTGTTTTGGTGTGTCTGTTTGTTTTGGTTTGTCTGTGTTCTTTCTTGTGTGTTGTTTTGTTGCTTGTTTTGTTGTTTGTTTTTTTGTGTGTGTTGCTGGCTGTTTGTTTTGCTTGATTTGCGTTGCAGTGGACAGTGATTTTCGCACGCACACATATGCTATTCTTGAAGGCTGTCTGCCGATAACATACAAAGGTACGTGCTAATACACACTGCTATGTAGATATCTGTTCACATGCTCTACACGTGTGCAAGGATGTGTGTGTTTGTGTGTGTGTGTGTTTGTGTGTGTGTGTGTGTGTGTGTGCGCGTGTGTGTGTGTGTGTGGGTTGTGATGTGAAGGCGCGCTCGTTGTCATGTTCTTCACGAACATCCGTCAAAGTGCAGCTGATTGTTAATGTTCAAATCCCCACTCTGGTCTGTGTCTATGGTCATTGACCGTGAAACCTGGCATTGGCAAGTGGAACACTCGAAATCTAGACTTGCCTTGCCTGTACATCTACTCTGCAAGGGCATGCAATGGTATGTAGAGTGAGCTTAGTACTTTCAGTAAACGTCATTTGTGTTCCTGTTCATTGTGGTGTGCTGTACTGTGCTAGGTAACGTGTATAACATCCCCCTGATGGTGACGTTTGATCACAAGCACCCTGAGATGCCACCCTACTGCACAGTCAGGACCCCAGGGAATATCTGTGTCAGGCCAACCCGCCACGTGGACGCGTCCGGGACTGTCGTGGCGCCTTACCTGCGCCGATGGACAGAGGTAGGACATCTACTCTGTGTGTGTGTGTGTGTGTGTGTGTGTGCGCGTGTGTGTGTGTACATGTGTGTGCGCGTGCGTGTGTGCGCGTGTGTGTGTGTGTGTGTGTGTGTGTGTGTGTGTGTGTGTGTGTGTGTGTGTGCGTGTGTGTGTATATATATATATACATGGTGTGTGCATGTGCGTGGTGTGTGTGCCCTCTAGATCAGCTGTGTACTCATCACTAGGTATAGACTGGCGTGGTGGCAGGGTACCGCATACAATACACACGTACAATACACACGTACAATACACACGTACAATGCTGTTACCATTACAAAAACGATGTACCCCTTATCACCAAGAAATGTGTTTAACCCTGGCCGTGGTATTGCCGATCACTGGTCACTGCTAAGGCTGTGTTTACATGAGGCGCTTCAACCTGGGTTGCACTCCATCCGGGTTGACATTTTTCTCACGTAAACACAGCCTTAGTGGTAGGTGTGATCAATCGGTGCTGTATCTTCTGTGTTCAGGCTTTGTTACCTGATTCCACGAGAATGTTAAAGTCGCAATGCACATAATACTAACACTCTGTCACACACTCCATATCGCGTTATATATTCAGGGGCGTCAGACACGGTACGGTCACAACGGCATTCACCGTACCACTTTTTGCCCCAGGTACCCCCTGTATCAATAAAATACACTGATCTGGGCTCTAAATTTCCAAACATGTCGGCTCAGCAACCCCTCCCCCACGAGTAAATTGTACTTCAGATGGCTAACCGGACCACACTAAAATAACTTCCGACGCCCCTGAATTATCACATGGTAATTGTTACGCTGGGCTTGCCACGTTCATGGTATGAAGCAATACTTTCAGGGCAGGGTCAGTATCAATTTTCGTCTGACGATCGATTCAGTGCGTGAAACTCAGAGTGACGAAAAAAGCAACTGCTTGTTTTTCTGTCTGTGTACCCTCTGTGTTCCCATTGCTTGCAGTCCGAGTCGAGTGTGTGCGGCTTGCTGGAACACTTGCAGGCAGTGTTTGGAGAATCGTGCCCCGTCTACTCCAAGACCTCAGACCCGGGCTCTGGCTCGCACCCCTCGCCAGTGACACAGCGGCGTCACGCTGATCATAGCGGTGAATTTGAACTGGCAGAAGTGGCAGAAGCAGCCATGGCAACAACAACAGCAAAAGCCACCATGGCACCAACAACAGCAGCAGCCACGGCAACAGCAGCAAAAACAGCAACCGTGGCAAAAGCAGCAGCAGCAGGAACTATGGCAACAACTGCTAAAGGAACCATGGCAACAACAGCAGCAGAAACCAAGACAACGGCGGCAACTGTGGAAACAACGGCGGTAGCACATGAAGACATAGTCGTTACCGAGTTGCTAGCGGCAACCCCGAATGACAACAGTGCTAAACCCACACTTAGTACAGCAGAGTCTCTGCCAGCTCATGATAATACACATGCAGCATTTGTTCGCGATGGAGCTGTCGTTGATGCAGCAGAAGCAGCAACACCAGCAGCTCCGGGACTAGATGCTACTGCGGGCTCGGCCGGTGCCAAGCCAAGCGTGCTTCCACGGCGACGTCAGCCGTCGGTGAAGAATCTGCGGATTGAGAAATCGCGCCCTGACCAGTCGCCGAACGTCATGACTCTGCGATCACCGTCGCCACCACGCGGCAGCGATGTACCTCTTGACGAGAAACTCATTGTCAGAGCTAGAACAGGAAACACGGCAGCGCCGCACCACCTCGGCCAACGACCAGCTCCGCACCATGGCGAAAAGCATTCCCGCCGCCGCACATCTCGTAAAGCTGGGACAGCCGACGAGAGAGACGAAGGGCCCTGCGTCAAGATGGTGCACGGTGAAACCCAAATCAAGTGGCCGGAGCATAAGATGCAGTCATTGCCGAGGGCTGGGCCACATGCCGCGCCAGCAGCGTTTATCAATGAGCCCGCAGCAACACCAGCAGCGACAGCAACAGCAACAGAAGTGCCAGCAGCAGCCATAGGAGTTCCTCTGGTGCCATCGTCAGGAGGCGTGCTAATCCCGTTTCTCTTACCCCCAGCACCAAGAAACCAATATATACGACAACGCATACCAGCAATCCAACCGCATGTGTACGCACTGCCTAGACCAGCTTCATCAAAGGAAGCATCAGCAGCAGTACCTGCAGAATTATCATCATCAGCAACAGCAACAGCAACAACAGCAGCTGACACTACATCCCAGTCATCCTCTAATGCATCTGAAGATAGTCGAGATCGATTGCTGCAGAGCTCGGCATGCGTGGATCGGAAGCCGTGCATCAGAGACCTACTGAATCCCAAGTTGACACAGGTAAGGATCAGCCATGTTGTCTGCAGTGCATGTAGTATTTGTACAGTTGACACTGTGCTGCATACTTGGAATTGCTCTGTTCCAGGCTCACACAGTGTGACATCATACATTGACCTATCCACAGCAATGAGCTCATCCCGGTGTGTGACACACACCGGGATGAGCTCATCCCTGTGGATAGGTCAATGTATAACGTCGCTAGTGCCCTGAGTGATTGCATGGTCTTGGTATCGGTGTAGAGTGGGGTGCGCTGAAAAATGCGATCACCAAAGACTAGGCAATGGCTAGCGACAACTTCAGGTTATGCACATCTAGCGGTCACTAGCACATCTAGCGGTCACTTATTAGCGTGCTATGTACAGCTAGCTGAACCAAGTATGGGAAATTGAAAGGTTCTGATTCTGAATGTAAAATACAGAGGCTCAGCCAGGCATCATGTGTCACGGCATGACGTAGTCTGCCTTTGGCAAGGCTCGGCGCTAGCAAGAGTACATAACCCCCCAGAGTGAGCAACGCCTGATCCAGCTCTGCATAGAATATTGGTCGAGCGTAATCGGATCTTTGCGTCATAATACCATACACATCTGAGGGGAACCCGGGGAGTCGCGGGTACTCTTGGCTTAAAAACAACGGTGCCCTGCCTCGAGACCGGCCTTGCGGTGGTGTGAAGTGTACGCATGCCATCAGAAGATCCGATTCCGCTCGACCAAGACCCTATGCAGAGCTGGATCAGGCGTTGCACACTCTGGGGGGTTATGTACTCTTGGGGGGTTATGTACTCTTGGGGGGTTATGTACTCTTGGGGGGTTATGTACTCTTGGGGGGTTATGTACTCTTGGGGGGTTATGTACTCTTGGGGGGTTATGTACTCTTGGGGGGTTATGTACTCTTGGGGGGTTATGTACTCTTGGGGGGGTTATGTACTCTTGGGGGGGGGGGGGGGGTTATGTACTCTTGCTAGCGATAGTGATATACAATACTAGTAACACAAGTCTCGTTGTGTGGATTGACATACAAGTACTGCCGTGGATATGGAAATCCAGTCGCAGGTCAAGCGGCCCAGGGTACTGCCCATGCAGCCGTGAGTAAGCAAACAACCAGCACGTGCACTGCATGCAAAGTTCTGTATGCACTGAGGGCACCGGCCCCGCGTCATTCGACCGGATTTCCGTGTTCACGATGGTACATGCATCGTGGATTGGGACACCTGTATGGTATGAAGTGCATACCAATGCTGCACTGCACTCTAGGATAGTAAAGATGATACGTTGTTGACTCAGTAGCCTCACGGGAAACGTGGCCTAGTAAGGTGCGTGTGTGTGTGTGTTCACGTGTGTGTTCCTAAACGCCCATGTATGTTCATATAATTATGTTCATGTGTGTTCATATATGTCCATGTGTGTGTCCATGTGTGTGTTCACGTGCGACGGTGTGCATGCCTACGTGCTGTCAGATTGGCGAGAAACTGGATCTGGAGAATTGTGTTGTGGATTTCGAGCCAGTCATCGAGACGGCTAACTGGAGCGTCGTCGACACGCCGTGCGTGCGTACCAGGAACACGGTCAGAGTGCACGACAGCAGCGCAGCTATCCTCGTCGTATGGTTTGGCAACGACAAGTTTGTTCGCAGGGCATTCACGCCACGCGCAACGGTAAATCTGTGGAACGTACACATGAAAGAATACGGTCCAACACGCTACATCGGCCTGGACAATAACTCCAAAGTCGCCGTGGTGGCCAGATCAAGCAATGACGTCGTTGTTCCGACCACTCTGACTGTTCCTGCTGCACCAGCTGCCGCGAGTACTGGTAGTCCTGGCGTTGCTTCGTCGAGTGCCCATGGTGCCACGGTGAGACGTCCTCCGCCTGCTACCCGGGCTGACCGGGACGATTCTCCTGCTTTGATCCGCGGGCTTGTGGTGTCGGTGCTGTCGCAGTCGCACATCACCTGCCCACAGTGCCAGGGTGTGCTTGTCAGCGATGCCAATGACCGTTGCCATGATGCTGCTGGCAGCAACCAAGGCAACAGTAGCCAAGGGAATAACAGTTTGATCATTCGCTGCCAGCACTGCCGAGCCAAAGTACTGCGTAGCGCTGCAGAGCCAGTCTGGAAGATGACATTAGCCCTGAAGAACGACACCGGAACCCACTCTGTTCTCGTCGTCGCCGACAACGAATTCCTGCAGCGATTCTCCTCCGCAGATGGCCAGCAAAGCATCGATGAGATTGAGGATTGTCTGCTACTGGGAAAGTACACCCTGGTGGTTGCTTTGCCATCTGCTGGTTCCGGGCCCGCGCATGTGGTGGAGGTTAGTCGGTCTGGCTCTGCCTAGGTTGAAGCTGCCACTTCTCTTGGCGTCACTGTCATTGCTCTGTTGTATTGCCCCAGTAGCAATTTTTTTCCTTCAGATGACGTATGACTGCTTGATGTGAACTGTCTGCCTGCTAGGCAATTATGAGCCAGTAAAGATGCACCATCTGCAAATGCTGCCCCCCACCCCTATAAACCGAACAAACAATATAAACACACATGATCCTATAGGGAACTGCTTCTCTGTACCAAAAAAATCTGCTCGCCTTACCGGGCCTTTTCCCCGCATACTGAGCACCAAATATTTCTGATCTTAGAGTATCCTATCGTGTATTTAGCTAGTGCCACTCTCCTATGTGTGCCGCAGTGGTTGGTTGCCATTGTAAGGTACAGTCAGACCTCGCTTAACCGCTCACATCCGTTTTCCACACAAATATCCGGATAGGCGAGGGAGCCGCATAATCGAACACACGTACTGTATGTATGCATGACATGTGCTGTAAGTCGGTGACCAGCGACTTTCTTCCGGATGGCATGCCAGGGATCCGGATAAAAGAGGACCGGATAAGCGAGGTCTGACTGTACTGTATCCATGCAATACCTGCTGCCGGATTCTGGATCTGAGCTGACATTCCTAGGAGCAGTGAGCAGGCACTCCCCATGTCTTTTGGCCCCATGTCTTCCGTCCCATGTCTTTGGTCCAGGCTGCTGTAGCGTTTCCGTTGTGTTCATGCATCTTTGATTATGATATTATAAGGTTTGATGTCTAGACTAGAAGCTCCTTGTGGACAGTTCTTGCGCACATTGGATGCTACACTTTGTTTGCTGAGATGATGACTCAGTGTTACTGTATTTTTTATTTTTTATTCTCACAACTTGGCCATAGGCCAGATGGTATCCTTCTCATGAACTGCTTGCTGCTTGGCTTCTTGCCTGTGGTCTTGATACAAGCAATGAGAGGACGAACAAGTGTTTAAACTCTGAGTTTCACGCACTATTATTAAAGCGATCATCAGAAAACAGTACTGACGATCGCTTAGTGTGTGAAACTCAGAGTTAAAACACTTGTTCCGTCCTCTCATTGTTTGAACTAGCTCTGCCTCTCGGTATCGAGCACGCTCTTGGATAGCCTGGAACCTCTGTGTTTTTTGTTGTCTTGATACAGTAAAACCTGAAACTAAACACCACCGTGACTAGCGCCCAGCCTGGTACTACAGACCACTTTGCCAGGCATGGGCGGTCTCACATAATTATATTATTATGGTTTCTCTGGCCCCAAGGGGTGGTCGTTAGTCACAGGTTTTACTGTAGTACCATTTCACACCTTCATTATGAATTGAGTTGTTAACGCTGTGACGTAGAAGCTATCGGACCGTACCAACATCGTTGAGTTGTTAACCCTGTGACGTAGAAGCTGTCGGACCGTACCAACATCGTTGAGTTATTAACGCTGTGACGTAGAAGCTGTCGGACCGTACCAACATCGTTGAGTTGTTAACGCTGTGACGTAGAAGCTGTCGGACCGTACCAACATCGTTGAGTTGTTAACGCTGTGACGTAGAAGCTGTCGGACCGTACCAACATCGTTGAGTTGTTAACGCTGTGACGTAGAAGCTGTCGGACCGTACCAACATCGTTGTTGTTGTTGTCGTCATCACTGTACATTGTCTGCTCTGGCATTTCAAAACTAACCCAGCTAGCACACGTACATGTACCTGGGCACAGCTCTTCCAAGCGGGTCAGAACTGGGTCAGAACTGGGTCAGAACTGGGTAAGAACTGGGTAAGAACTGGGTCAGAACTGGGTCAGAACTGGGTCAGAACTGGGTCAGAACTGGGTAAGAACTGGATAAGAACTGGGTCAGAACTGGGTCAGAACTGGGTAAGAACTGGGTCAGAACTGGGTCAGAACTGGGTCAGAACTGGGTAAGAACTGGGTCAGAACTGGGTCAGAACTGGGTAAGAACTGGGTCAGAACTGGGTCAGAACTGGGTCAGAACTGGGTCAGAACTGGGTCAGAACTGGGTCAGAACTGGGTAAGAACTGGGTCAGAACTGGGTCAGAACTGGGTCAGAACTGGGTCAGAACTGGGTCAGAACTGGGTAAGAACTGGGTCAGAACTGGGTCAGAACTGGGTCAGAACTGGGTCATAAAAAAAATTAAAAAAAGTAAATTATCGTATCCGTTCCCGAAGGGAACTCACGACGGCCGCTAACACCCGATAAACCCTGGGTCAGAACTGGGTCAGAACTGGGTCAGAACTAGGTACGTTCAAGTGCGGCTACTGTGCATGTACATCGGGGAGGCGTAAATACTTTAGGACTCATCATTATGACGTGGTACAGTGTATTCCCAACCGGGGTCACGAGTGACCCGGTGTTCTTTTCCAGACGGGTCGAAGTACCCCCCAGCCGGGTCGCTGACCCGGCTGACGCTGCCATGCTCTGGAGCAGACACTGGTCAAAGACTCATGTGTGTGTGTGTGTGTTGTGTGTGTGTCTGAGACCAGGACACCCAACACTTGCGACATACTTTCTCCCGGAGTTTTTCAAGACTTACTTAACAGGGTTCTAGCCAAAGGGGGGTAGGGGGCGCAGCGCCTCCCTACCCCCCTTTGCGCACCCCCCTTTGAAAAAGTGCCACCCGTACTCATTTTCCGATTTTTGTGTTTTTTCACGCCATTCAATGAAAATACAGTCGACAGTCACTACTAGAGGGTTCATAAAGACACATTTGTGAGGGGTGAAGTCGGGGGTTCACCCTGTATGTTACATTTTGCATGGCAAGACAATTTTGGACAATGGAAAAAAATGGGTCATCATGGGGTAACTGTTTCCCATGCCCGGCCCCCCTACTACATGTATATTGACCTGACTAGAACCCTGTACTATAATACTATAGGTATGCCCTTTGCGCAGTGTGTGTGTGTGTGTGTGTGTGTGTGTGTGTGTGTGTGTGTGTGTGTGTGTGTGTGTGTGTGTGTGTGTGTGTGTGCGTGTGTGTGTATGTGAGTGTGTACACGTGTGTTAGCGCCGGGTGCCGCCAGGCTCTTTTTTCATTCATGAGGTTGCTTCATGCTTTCTGGCCAGGACACGTACACGTCTGTGGAAGTGATCTTACCCTTAACTTAAGGGGGCACATCACCCAAAAATTTCATATGGCATTCAATTGACTGTAACTTTGGTGTTTCTCAGTGGATTTGAGTGAAATTTTGACCACACACTCCTGCCACTATGCTGGCCCTCAGGACATGATTTACAAGTTCTTGCGCCTCACTGACAGGCTTTCCAGGCCGGAAAAACTCAAATTTCCGGCATAGTGCTACGGTGTGCGAGCCACCCAGGAGCCAAACAAATGCATTTACATTTTTTTCACATTTTCGTGCCCATTCTGTCCGTGCGCGGGACCCAAACCTAAAACAAGTCCAGAAGCAGCCATGGGTGGTGGGGTAGGGCCCCTCAACGTGGCCCTGGAATCTGTCACAACGGAACGAGTGGGCGTTCTTTCACGGACTCCCACAGACCCAAGTCAATTTTTGAATTTTTTTAGGTTTAGCACGTGCTACGAGGTCGTACCTTTGATACAACATCCAGTGCTGGGACCTCCACGGCAAGCCATTTCCACAGCGCTGCACACCAAATCCAGGATGCCCTCAGAAACCGGCAAAGACTGCCACTCACGTTTCACTACTGCCTAGTACTGAATCCTACCTGACTTCTTGACACGACTCAAACTTGCCAAAGTCACTAAATCAACGTCAACTACAATAATCAAGCCACATATCTGCAACGTCACGAGGGTGCTGGCAAAAGTCCTGCTGCACGGCGGCGGGCTTCGCCCGCCGCCGTGCAGCCCAATACGTGGTTTTTTAACGTGATTTTTTGGACTTTTTTGGACTTGGGGCAAAATTCTGCACACTTTCGCGTGTTTCCATAATACGACAAGTTGCGCACGGTCTGCTCACATTCAAATACAGTGCTGCCAACAAATGACAGCATGCAACAAAAAAAATCTTTCCTTGCAAGGGCACATTTTCGGCCATAACTCTTGAACGGCTGGTCAGATAGGGACACCGTTTTCAGAGAATTGTCAGCTATTTAGGGGCCGTCCGTAAATATCGATGTTTTTTTAGAGACGATATTGGTGCTTCTCTCCCTTGACCCCCCTCCCTCCCCCCAGAAGACGCACATGTACATCTAGATCATGGAATCAATATTTTTGGATGCTCATGAAGTGCCCAGGAATGGATGTTGAGGGTCCGGTGTAGGCGTGAAAATCCCGCCGCACTCACGCAATAGCTGCATCGCCTGGCCTGGGATGGGGGGAGCGAACCGGGTTGGCGCTGCAGTGCTCACAGACATCGTGTACTACTGGTGTAGCCAAAGCGGCTACGCTCGGGCTTGAATTTTTTCAAATCCTTGTTCAGACAGTGAAGACTGGAAACTCTTGTGGAGTTCGTCCGTGTTTGTTCGCACTGCCTCTACGTCTTGAAAAAGGTCTCCTGCAGGCATCGTTCGGCCGATTTCCACAATCAATAGCTCATTCTTTTGCTCTTGAAATTCGCCATGGGCGTACAGCTTCCAATTTCAGCCCTCACCATCGTCTACACGGATTTCAAAAGCGTCGACCTCCATTTTGAAAACATGGTGGCCGGCCGCGCTACCCGTAGGCGCACGTGCCCACCGCGTGTCTCAGCGCGAGCTTCGAGCTCGCGAGCTAAAGATCATGTCGCCCACTCATTTTCCTGTGTTTCCCCATTTCTTCGAACTCGCTCAGCTTTTGCTTCAGCTTTTGCTTCGCTCGTGCTTCAGCTCCACGCTGTAGTCTGAGTTTAGTTCTCTTGTCTTCTTCCAGCAGAATACTGCAAACTCTACAGCACGTCGAGCTCCTCCTAGAAGAGTTTCTTTTGCGTCGAGGCAGACTGTCGATCGTTTCAGTCCTATTTTGCCGTCGTCTCATGAGCGCCCCGGAAAGCAACAGTATCTATTTTCTTGTCGTTCCATTTTCTGGCGAACTCATTCACCTACTACTTCTTCCTTTATGAAAGCTTCAGGTGGCTGAGTTCTCCCACTAGCGACAATCATGCCTTGGAAATGAACAGGATATTCCCAGGGTATGTACAGCCAGTGCAGTGATGTCAGTGTACTGCGCGTACTAGTAGTTGTTTGTTTTGTCGAGAAAGAATCCCTTTCGCACTCGCGCGGGCCGCGAGGGTGCAGCACGGAAACAGGTCTATTGAATTCATTTCTTGGTCGATTTCGACAACCAATACGTCGTTGTTTTTCTTTTTTCACTGGCTATCCTTTCTCCGCTTCCGAATTGCGATGCCGTCCACCTGGAAAGCCTTGAAGTGAAACGAGTGGAGGCCGGTTTCGGAGGTAATTTTCGGCCAAACGGCAATCAAATCGAAAAATTCGAAGCGGACGATCTGTTGGTATCTATCGAAAGAAGACGTTGGCCCATAAAAAATCTTTGGAAACTACACCGTATGAACCAAGGAATTACGGTAAGTTTGAGAATTTTGGTACATTAGCTGTACGCTGATTGGTCGATTTGCGCGACCGTTGAGAAACGGGCCAGTGACGCTTTGTACAGCGTTGGTGAGGGCTGAATTTTTGATTTTGTTCCTGTGTCGCGAGTTTTAGCTCCGCGAACGGAAGCTGGTTTCACATTTCTTGTATAGCCATTTAGACGTCCGCGTGCAGGGATCGGCGAAACTTCAGATATTTACATCGATATTTTTCTGATGCTCGAAAAGACGCACATGGCTCAAACCCCCTCCCCCCCAGACGCACCAATATCGTCTCTAAAAAAACATCGATATTTACGGACGGCCCCTTATGCTCTTTCAACTGACGTAGCACTCGATATGAATTTACAAATTCGATTTTTCAGCGAATTTTTGGGTGAT